TACCTGGCATCACACACACTTCTTGTATCCTGTGGTAGTTCAGAAGCAACCTCATTACATGTGACCCTCACAGACATGTCAGAATGTATAAGTATTTCTAAGTAAGTTCACAGGAAAGAAAAGATACATCTTATCTTTTATACATTTTATTTTTTATTGGATAAATGTAATTTTACACATACAACCTGTCTAAGATGACACAAATTTAAAACATACAATAACATCTTTAATGCAACATAAAAATGACAGGTTTCTAGTTTCTCGTCATGCAGCAAAACAGACTCACATCCTATTTTATGACAACAGAGACCATTTAAAACACATTTCACATGGGGAAGTTACAACAGAAACAGCACCACATTGACTTCACTAATTTCTTAATGATATACAGGCAAATAAAGAGGATCAGGTTTTCAGATCGACCCAGAAGGAAATTTGTTGACACGTTCTGCTTCTCTTTGTGATCACATGATTGGAATAATGTTTTGTCTGCATGATCACACAGGTATTTGCACAGAACAGATACAGTCGACATTTTCTTCATGATACTAACATGACAACCATTTCCTCAAGTTGTGTCAAACGAACAGTTACTTTTGTTATGCATGCCTAAATTTCTAACCCATGATGCATCAGTGGCTTTTTAATCATGAATTTTACTTAGAGTTCTAGTAAATAGCCAATAAATTCATGAAACGAGAATCGAGAGTTAATGAAAGGACTCTGCTAATTTTCATTTGACAGTTTGATTAAAATCAGAACATGTAAAAAATTAATATCAACAATTCAAAGAAAGTACTGCTACAATCAATATATAAATGCTGCTAAAAGATTTTAAAGAACTCAGAGTACTGTCACAATGGTCTGCCAGTTTTGTTACAGAGGGACACTTTGTCAGTTGAACAAGTTTGTGTTATGGATATAAGACTTTCCACCCCACTCAGGCTTCAGTGTTTTAATTTTAAGATGGTTAATACCTTGATTTTTTTTTTTTTAGATGATGCAACCAGTAAAAAACTTTCCACACTAACCACAAATGGTTTAATTCCAGTGTGAATGACCTGGTGCTTGTTAAATGTGACTATATACACTGAACAAAAAAATAAACACAACACTTTTGTTTTTGCTCCCATTTTTCATGAGCTGAACTTAAAGATCTAAAACATTTTCTACACACTCAAAGGACCCATTACTATCAAATATTGTTCACCAATCTGTCTAAATCTGTGTTAGTGAGAACTTCTCCTTTGCTGAAATAATCCATTCCACCTCACAGGTGTGGCATTGTCAAGGTGCTGATTAGACAGCAGGAATATTGCACAGGTGTGCCTTTGACTGTCCACAATAAAAGGACACTCTAAAATATGCAGTTTGATCACACAGCACAATGCTACAGATGTCGCAAAACCAGTCAGTATCTGGTGTGGCCACCATTTTCCTCACACAGTCCAACACATCTAATGGAGATCTGTTGCACCTTGTGAGGCAAATGGTGTGCAATGGGCATAGAGTTGATCAGGTTGTTGATTGTGGGCTGTGGAATGTTGGTCCACTCCTCTTCAATACTTGCGCAAAGTTGCTGAATATTGGCAGGAAGTGGAACATGCTGTCATATACACTAAGCCGAGCGTCCCAAACTAATGGTGACATGTCTGATGAGTATGCTGGCCATGCGAGAACTGGGATGTTTTCAGCTTCCAAGGAATTGTGTACAGATCCTTGCAATATGGGGTCATGTATTATCATGCTGTAACATGAGGTTATGGTCATGGATAAATGGCACAACAACAGTCCTCAGGATCTCACATTATGCATCATACACATCTCTGTGTATTCAAAATGCCAACAATAAAATGCACTCGTGTTCATTGTCCATAACCCCACATCCACCATGAGCCACTCGATCCACAACGTTTATGTCATCCACACGATGCAACACAAGCTGTCTGCCATCTGCCCTGAACATTAAAAACATCTGTCAACAGAACACCTCTCCAAAGTGCCAGACGCCATTGAATGTGAGCATTTGCCCACTCAAGTTGGTCACAGTGAAGAACTGCAGTCAGGTCCAGACCCCGATGAGGACGACAAGCATGATGATGATGAGCTTCCCTGAGACGGTTTCTGAAAGTTTCTTTAGAAATTCTATGGTTATGTAAACCGATTGTTGCTGCAACTGTCTGGGTGGCTGGTCTCCACCTGGTCGGCCATTCTGGAGGTGAACATTCTGGATGTGGCGGTCCTGGACCGGTGCGGTCACATGTGGTCTGTGATTGTGAGGCTGGTTGGATGTACTGCCAAATTCTCTGAAATGCCTTTGAACATGGCTTATGGCAGAGAAATGAACATTCATTTCACAGGCAACAGTTCTGGTAGACATTCCTGCAGTCAGCATGCCAGTTGCACTTGCCCTCAAAAGCTGCGACATCTGTAGCATCGTGCTGTGTGATCAAACTGCATATTTCAGAGTGGCGTTTTTTTGTGGGCAGTCTAAGGCACACCTGTGCAACATTCATGCTGTCTAATCAGCACCTTGACATGCCACACCTGTGAGGTGGGATGGATGGTGATAACAAAAAAATTATATAACTCCAGTGTGGATCAGTTGATGATTTTTTAAGGTACCGATTTGAGTAAATCCCTTTCCACACTGGCCACAGCCAAAACTTTTAACTCCAGCGTGTA